CCTCATATACTTTGAGCAACCACGGTAAAACAAAGCTGGTTCGAAAGATCATAAAAGCAAAACAAGTGAGTGCAAGAACCTACAGTCTTTAAGTGTAAGGAAAAACCACAAACTGCAGTTCAGATTTCTCTGTATGGGCACACCAGTACAACTACATCAAGTAGTGATATTTTGTAGTGTTAATAAATATTCAGTGATGTCTTTGAATTCAGCTTCCAAATGGAAAAGCTCAAAGCCATAAGACACTGTTATGCCCAACATGCATGCCACACTCAAAATTATATGATGGTATTATTTTTAATTGTCCCTAGCATCCCTATTCTTCAGCTATCTCGCAAACTGCAGAAATGTGCCCAACACAGAACATGCTTCTTTTTCTCGACTACTTGCGTTTAAATTTTCCTTTTTCACTCTGATAAGAATTTACACAGTTATGCTCAAGTCATGCAGAGAAACATGTAGACCTCTAGCGTGAAGTAATGGTATCTTGGTCTGGTTTCTACCAAAACTGGAAAGTGAAAATGAATTTTAGTAGATCTCTGATATATAAAATTTAATGAAAATCCATTCAGTGGCCAAATTTTTTCATGCTTTAAGAGAGAGAGAGAGAGAGAGACAGACAGAAGGCCAGATGGTGCCCTGCAGAATAGTGAACATGCCTTCACAGGTTTAGCAATTACATAAAACCAATGACATGAGGTAACATGTGTAACATTTAGTTTTCATAGGCAAATAGGGATCTAGGAAAGCGCATTCCCAGCACTAACAAAACTGAGCTAAACACTTACCAACTTCCCTGAACACAATTATACAAAAAGAAAGCTACTGTGCATACAACACCAATACAGCCACAATGTGCAACTGTGCAACATTCCTTCATGCTGTGATGCCGCTGCCAGTTATGAAAGGAACACTGTTCCTGACTTTGGTGGTACACTAGCTGGACCACTGCTCTCACTTGCTATCTTCAAAATTGTGCATATAACATCAATGGAAATTTGAAATGCTATTTACACATAACACGCTCCAAACTTTCAATACAGTATGGTAATCAAGATTCCTCACTTTAAGGGATTCCCTTATTTAATGCTGAATTTCAATGATAACAAGTCAATCATTTCAGTATCAAATTTCCTCCTTTCACTATCTTCCTCAATATAATGTTCAAATTCACTGATCCCCAAAGATGCATTAAATGAGGATTTCACTGCACAGTGGAATCCCCATTTAACAGTTTTTTTTTTTTTCAATTTAAGATCTTCTCTCATTTAACATTACATTTCAATGATCCAAAATCATCAGCCTCTGTATAAGATTTTCTTCAGATTGGAGGTAGTTAGGCTACTGTTCCATGCTGCAATATGGGACTGTGAAACTGTCTTGCTATGTATTCAGTTAAGCCATGCCTTGTACAAGATTTTCCATTCCTATCAAGTTCTCAGTGGCAACTAAAGGTCTGATGGTTCTACAAATGTAATACCAACATTCTGTTTATTTCTCTACAGTTGGTTTACAAGCAAAGTAATTACAGTATTAACTTTCATAAGTTAACACTTTTACTGCCGAGCCCTGCTACAGGACTATGTGCTAGAAAGGTCAAGGCTGCTTCGTTATAAATGGAAGTGTAAAGAATGCACAATACTTCCTACTCTATAATGTTATTTTTCCGTCACAACACAACAACTAAGGAGTATTAAGTTCAATACCCAGCTATGCCTCACTACATGTTTCGGCCTTTAACGGCCATCATCAGGTGAATACAAATCAACAAACATATACTATTGAACTATGGTAAAATTAGATACAATGACAAAAATAGTTCATTCTTCTGTGTAAAAAGAAAAAAAAAAAGATAGAAGAAAATATTATTAGAAGTATTAATATTTAACGGACGAATGTCACAAATGAATGACAGAGGCAGCAACCCGANACATGCAAGACACGCGGAGCCTTTCTTCCATGAACCAAGATGATTTAGGTTCGGAGATACAGTCTTCAGCATCTCATGTGACACCTACATCATCATCATCCATATCCAGGAAACGAACAGCTAATACTCTTAGGGAAGATATGTTAGATTAAGAAAAGATGAAAATTCTTCTAATAGAAAAGCGTCTGTCAGAAAGTGAAATCAACAGGAAACTGAAAACAGATGAAGATTATCTGTTTTTAATGAGCATCTTGCCAACAATGAAAAAATTTACTGATATTCAGAAACTACGTTTTTGAGGCCAAATCAATGAATTGTTGCTAGAAGCAGTTACACAGAACCAATATTCTTACGTTTATGGGAAGAGACAAGGTGGTTATTTTACCGAGGTTGGACAGAATCAAGTTGCAGAAACACATGCACATGTAACAGACACTCTTCAATAGTCTGATGTATTACATTTTTACTTACCTCAAAGTTACAATTAATTTTTCTGCAGGAGATATTGTGACATGAAAGTTGGTGTTAGTCACTTTTAAACGAGACTCAATGTTTGTAATATAAATTCTTGTATATTCTTGAAATTTAACAGGCTCCGTTCTTAAACTTTCATATAATGTATTAAACTCACCAAACAGTTTCCTTTGTTTTACTACAACACTTGAACCCTTCTTTTCACTGAATAAATTGGCTTTAAGAATTGTATTCTCTTCTAAAATAATATCAAGTAATAAGTCATCTGAATCCATTTTCTACGGAAACTGTGACCTTAACACACCTGAAAACTTTTAATCGTTTCTTGCATCCCCTATCGTGTTTAATCAATAGTAGAGTTAATTTACCCACTACACAAGACGTTTTTTTATCATCACATTCTCACTACATGTTCTGACATGTAGTGACAGGTCGAAACATGTAGTGACAATGTGATAATAAAAAACGTGTTGTGTAGTCGGTAAATTCACTCTACTATTGACACCTGAAAACGCTGAACGCTAGAGCTGCACTGAGGACACAGCAGCGGCCCGCTGCCAGAAACATGTAGTGATAATGTGATAATAAAAAACGTGTTGTGTAATTGGTAAATTTGCTCTACTACTGACACCTGAAAACGCTAAATGCTAGAGGTGCACTGAGGACACAGCAGTGGCCCACTGCCATAAAGTTGCCCACGCCCCGCTCCACACTCCACCGCACTCAGGCCATACCCTTAGTTGTTGTGTTGTGACGGAAAAATTATGTTATATATTGTAACACAACAGGATGCATGAAATGAAGATTACTTCCTACTCTGATTACCTTCATATGACCTCAGGTATGGACAGTCTGAAAGCCTGATTTTTCTCCTCAAAACACATGATACTACCTATTCATAGAAATGTTACATGAAGTAATTAACATCAAGCCAATCTCTTCCACTGCGACACAACAGTTACGAGAGAAGTAGAGTAGCATATGTGGTCTCTTCAAAATTTTTGGAACTATTTTTTTGGACATACCTGCAACTGAGTGGGCCTTATTACCTTCAAAGTACTACCCTCCTGCAGTGTCGCACCACTCCCAACACCTTAGCCACCACTGGAAACAACAGACCTAGTGTGCCTTTTGGGGATCGCCTGTAGCTGTCTGCAACTTTTCAATTTACAATCATCTAGCAAAATCCTCTCTCTCTCTCTCTTCTTAAGAGCTCTAGAATTCCCAAGTGAAGGGACATTATTATTATAACCATATAAATAAACAGCAGCATGTGCGGCTGGCCCCATCTTGGTATAAACAAAACTTAACGAAACATTTGGAATACACTGAATAGAAATAACCAAGGTCACATGGTTCCTACAGTGTAGCATCTTTTATAACTGTAATAGTTTTGATGTTGGCTGGAAACAAGGGATATGTGAGTGGACCCCATTGTGTTCATTACAGAGATAAGCTACTCTGAACGGACTGAATACACATCTCAGGATAAGAGCAAGAACTAGATAAACGTGTCACTACCCTGCTTATGTTGGGCACCACATGCATGTAACAGTGCAGTTACAGTCCTACAGATACCTAAACTGGTACTCACCCCCAGTTAAAAGAAACACCAAAATGATACCACACGACCACAAATCGGCTGGTTCGGCATGGTATGGTGGCATCAAGACCTCTGGGGACATATATGCGAATGTTCCACAACACTCTGTCAATGTCCGCTCCTAAAAATAAATTGAACTGCTGTTAATACTTGTTCCAGACACAAGCACAAATATGCCAGAATACCTTCATCCAACAACTGCCAAATTCCTGTATCATGAACGAACAAATATGAGGACTAAATAGTATGAGAGAAATTCACGACTGTTATGGGGTTCCCATAAGCTATGGCAGATGTAAAATATGTCACAAACTTGAAAAACGATGACTGAACTCTGTATTAATGTACACTGTATTGATACTGAAAGTAATAAACACCAGCATATATAAGAAAGCAGTACCTGGAAACCAAATATAAGGAGATTCCTATACACTCATTTGAATTTGAGGCACTCTCCATAAGAAGAAATCAGACACTAAAAATTGTGGGAGGGGAGGAATATTAATTAATTTTACTTCATTAATATTTTCCTCAGCTTAATATTCAAATCCATTGCTCCACAAAGAAACCATAAAAGTCTCAGTAATGTTGTATTTCTTTGTAGTTGCAGTGTCCTACATCCTGCTTAAGTTTACTTGTAATAGCATTGGTAACACGTCTATGGTCTAGTGGTCAGAGTTCCTGGCTACAGATCCTGAGGTCCCTTGTTCGATTCCCGGTGCTGCCAGAGTTTCTGGAATGTGGTCCACTCAGGCTTTTGAGGATAATTGAAGATCTGTTTTAAGCGAATAGCTGCTCCAGTCTAGAAAAACGAGATTAACGTCCTTTGGGATTCGTTGGGATGACTATGTGACACCCGTTATCAACAAAAGTTGGCACTAACTTCACTGACAAGCAGCGGTCTCTCAGTTGATATAGTTTCCTTGCAGAGAACATGCCACTGATTAACAATCAGTGTGTTAAGATTTTAAAACTTTTGTTGTCTCACATAACTCTCTCTCTCTCCAGTTACTCTGTATCATAAGTGACTGCAAAATTTTAATATTGAACATATTTCATTGAGAGAATTGTGTTTCAGGATCACCAAAGATGGGCATTGATTCACCAAGAGATGAGCAGCAGAATAAACGCTTTTGCTGTGGGAGTGAAGTATCTACATTCTCTCCCCCTGGCGCAGCACATGATGGCTGGGCTTTGGATGACTCAGTGGCCAGACTGAGTAGATCTCAGCCAGAACCAAGGTTAGAGCAGCACATTGTGCCTGTTGCTGCAGCTATGCAGGAAGAAAGGGGGACATCACCATTTTCACAGCCAGCGCACCTGAATGATGTGGTGCTGAATTCACAGCTCCATGCTACTCAGCCATCTACACGGACTTCCAGTCAGGTATGTAGTGCTAAGAACCTAATACATTTTTTAAAAAAATGAGTAGAAGTCATTGTGTTTTTTTTCACAGAATACTTTCCAAATCCTGGTGCGACATGACACGCTTTTGTGTATGTACAGACTATATGGAAACAATTGAAAAACTATGCAAATTACTTGATAAATTGAGTTATACCTGGAGAATTGCAGCCAAAGTGGTATGTAATCATCGATTTTCACTGATTGCTTGGGCATGCCTGGTGTGCATACAGTTCTCCTGTGTCCTGTGTAACTTGAAGTTACTTAACACACAAAGAAACCTGCGGACTTTTCCATCCCTGTGTGCAACCATCTTGCTTGAAAACAGAATATGTTTCTTTTCTCATATTTTGCTGTCTACTGGGATTTTTGGGTGTCATTTTGGCAGTTTGATTTGCATGTTCATTCAGAACTTTGGTCAGAATGAATTTTACAGATCCTGTATTGTTCTTCACTTTTGAGCCCTTTGAAACCTTCAGTTGTCAGTCCTCATATTTTACATGTTTGATTTCAGTCCTGAGCTGTAATTTATATATATTGTTACGTGTTTCATTACTGAAGACGCCGTTTGGATTGTTAACTGGTTTATTTAACAACCTACAAGTATCGGCTACAATTAATTACAACAACGTTACGGGTTTACCCACGTTAGAACCCTACACACAAATCTGTCCACTCTATCACAATGTGACGTCGGCTCATGTCCATGGTCTGTGTGCGCACTTCTCCCCTCTACTATCTCTAAGGTCCCCCTCTCTCCTCCCCTTCCTGAGCCGGCTTAGCGGCCTAACAAGTGGAGCTAAGGGCGCTTGGGTTCCCAACCATTGAAGGGGTAGGTTGTTCTCATTTCGGACCACTGGTCGAGGTCATCCTCGACCGTCCAAATTGATTTCTCTACGTGGTATTCAGTCTTAGAGCAGCGAACTCTGCAATCATTCTGATACAGGTATTTACATCGTGTTTGTATTCTTTCTTTATTAATATATTATATTTATTCTTTGTTAATATTTGATTTGGTTATTTCTGTTTGGGTATTTCTGCCTTGCTGATTTCTTTGTCCTCCCCTGCTTGCCCTGTCCTGTCTCATGCGAACCTATAAGGACTCCTCTGAAGGGTACCCCCGCTTCAAAAAGTGGTAGCAGAGCGTGGTTATGTTCTTGTGGTTAGGTTCGTGTGGTTTGTTCCACGTCTGTGGTTTGGTTGAGTGAAAACGGTGGGACGGAACCGTGCTTTAGACAGCCGTAGTCCCTTGTTATAGTGGTTGGTTGCTTTTGTAGCACGCATTGGTAGTGTGGCTATGTGGTCAACGTAATTTCCTCTGAGAGTTTGGTTAGTGTTCATAGTGTGTTTGCACGCAGTCCTAGTGTGGGTTGCCCTGATATGGTGGTTCGGTTTGTTTGTGTAGGGCACTTGGGTAGGTTATATGGGACTTGTTGGCCTGTTTGTGACCCTCTTGTTATCATAATTGTTTCGTGTCCATTTCATTAGCAGCACTATGGAACGACAAACTATCGTACCCGAATTTTTGCACAAGGATGAGTTAGCATATGAGTTGGAGGTCCGTGGTATAAATACAGACGGTTTAAATGTTGCGGATTTGCGATCTCTTTTCCATAAGTCACGTGAAGTAGAAGAAAACCTTGATGCATGTACTAATTCTGATATCTTTCTGGCCCCTAATAAATTGGTAACCTTTTGCCATGACCGTTTTCAGCTGATTAAGAATTTGGTGGAGAACACAGACTGTTCTTCCATTGGTCTTGGTTATCCTCGTTACCTCCATCGGTTGTGACATGTCAGTACTCGGCTACGTCATCTATTGCAGTTGGGCAAACTCGCACCAGATGTGCGGGCTGACACGGTAAATTTCCAGGAAGAAATACACCAATATATGCAGTATATGATTGCGCAGGTAGATTCCTTGCAGAAGAGTCACCCTCCAGGGGATCAGCCTGCTGCTGTTTCCTTTCTTAAGGTTCAGGCTACCGCTCCGTCCGACTTTAATAAGGCGGAACTTCAGAGCAGAACACATTTGACTGCCCCTAAGCTCACTCCTGATATGTGTTTACCTTCTCAGGAACAGCCACTATCCCCTAGCCAGGTGGTACCTCTTGTGGTTAATTGCGATTCGAGTACTTCGGGAGGCTCTCTCCATTTTGCGAACTTGCCTAATCCTGTACACAAAATGTTTGAAAGTCTTCATGTTACGGACAGACTCATTGTATCCGAGCTTATTGAGTTCCTACGAGCTTTAGTACGTTTGCAACTTATGGCACCTGCGTTCCGTATTTCTACGGCGCAGATTTGCAAATTCTACATGGATTTGCTAAGGGTCCATTGGCATCCAAGATCTTGGCCGCTATACATTCTGGTGATACGCTTGATGATTTTCACGAACGTGTATTAGCTTTTTTTATTCCGCCCCGTACAATGCTGCCATTGTTGAACGCTGACTATTACCGATGGCAAAGGAAGGATGAGCCACTCACTGTCTATGTTGCAGACATTAAAGAGATAGCCGCCGTTTTTCGTCAGGATATCGATCAGTCTGCTGTGGTCCGCAATATTCTCGATGGATTGCATCCATATCAGAGGAGCTGTTTAGTGTTCAGTGACAGGCCGCATAGTTATGCCGATTTAGATAATATGTGCGTGTATGCTCATAATGTTGAG